TCATAATTCTAATTTGAGAAATAATTGTATAATTCTCAGCAAGATTTTCATATTAGCAGAATATCACTAAATGTTGATTTCATCAGAGCATTATGAAATGCAATGGAAATATAAAATATTGGAATTTAAGAAAACAATTTGTCATCATGCTGGCTTTCTTGAAAAAAATATTTCATACAAATGTAATTATTATTTTTAAAACACACATTTTGTTCAACCTTTTTTTTAATTACTCTGACATTTCTTGTGCTGGCTTCCATGTTTGTGATACTTATAAATGTTTTTACTAGCATTGCCAATTTAAATCAGTCAATTCCATGCCTGATGAACACCAATGAAAACAAATGAAATGTAGGCAAAGCTTATTCTTCCCCCCAGTGTGAAATAAAAAATGTCAGAGCCGTCCAATATATCTCAGACAGGTCCAATATCTCATTCAGCTGTCCAACTGATTTCTTTTTCAAACTGGCAGTGTGTTTTTTTTTTAAGATTAGAAAATGCACAATTCATTGGATAAAAATTGTAACCAATCACAATGGCAGGATATTTATTTATAAAACTTGATTTAAAACACTATTTCCAAATAAAATAAGCAGGGATCACTTTGGGCTGCGCCTTTGCGCCATTGGCGCTCAATATTTGTAAATGGCGCACTAAGAAATTAGAAAGGGGTCAGTCTGGCGCATGTCTTACAGATATGGCGCTATAAGATGCAAAATTGTGGGTCGAAACTCTTAAATTGGTGCATTTTAGGACCGTTTTCAAGCTGACCGATTGTATTCATGACGTATCTGAGCATACTGTTACTCGTTCAATCAGACTCTTTGTAGCCGCGTATGTTCTTTACACCAGCAGAGCGTCTGATTGATCAAGACTAAAATCGGAATTGTACATGGAATATTTCCTTCGTTTAGATTACCCTACTAGATTTTTTTTTACCGAATACTGAGTCAATTATATTTATTAAAATTATATGTAATGATTTAAATAATAAACACTTGAAAGTAATACTCCACTATGTAATATGTTCTAATATTTCTTAAAACTTTGATTATTTATTTCGAAACAAAACAAGTACAAGTTACTCATTGTGTATCCACACACTTGCCCGAAATGCCTCCAAAGCGAAGATTGCCAAGACAACGAAAGCTTTCGTTTGTTTTACAAATAAAACGACGGAAACTTTTTCATTCCCAGACTCGGCAGAGGTCTCTGATTAAGAAGAACAGTCCAAGACGTTGACTCCTGATGTCAACGGCAACGATGTTCGTCATTTCCAGTCCAAGTGGCTAACTTTGCACCCGTGGTTGGAATTTGATCAGATGGGACTAAAATGTTTTCCAAACAAATAAAAAGTTTCTCATTTAAGTTTTTTGCTCCGAGTTCTCTGCATACAAAACGAGTCCCTACCATTTGAACCAAATTTAATCTGCAACTGCCCCAGGTCTATTCAGTAGAGAAATGTGCATGTAAGTTTGCATCCTTTATAGTTTAGCTCTTCAACAACTTTCGAGAACTAAATCAATAAAATCAAAGGGGCGAGGAATTAACTTAGGTGTTCTGTTTATCAATTTTTTTAATACTCTATTGTATGAACTCAAGTCTAAAACAATTCTCCAATATGACATTTTTCAGTACTGAGATGAAATTTAAAGAAAAAAAAACTTTCTTTTATATTTATAATATTATTCATTTTATTTTAAAAAACTGAAATTGGTTGTGTCAGAAATGGCATTTAAAAACCCTCGAAGACCCATCAAATTTACTTGAAATTCATCACAAAATAGCATGAAATATCAATTTTTCCCGGGGGGCTTCGCCCCCCTGGACCCCCTACCGGGGCGTTGCCCCTGGACCCCAATGGGGGCCTAACGCGGCCCCCATATCCCCGGCGTATGACCCATGGATTTTAATGTTGATGGGCCATTGGCCCATCAACATTAAAATCCAGAGTGATCCCTGAAATAAGTTATTTTATTGGCTGAACTTTCAACAATAAGGAAGATTAATTTAATGTGTTTTCAAGAAAAGATGACTCATTTATTTTTAATTTCTAAATTTAGGGGGGGATATGACAGATAAAACAAGAGGCCCAGGGGCCACATCGCTCACCTAAACAACTGGCTATATAAAAGCAAAAATCAGTTTAGTACTGGAAAGTTTAAAAAATATATAAAACTGGGTTAAGGGGAGGGGGGTGTATTTGAACAAACATAAATCTACATTTCCTAAGGATGCTTTTGAATTAATATGACACATAATGGCAGTGGTATCTATGACCAACCATGGCTTTGCTGTTCCTGAGAAGAAGATTTTTCCCATTTATTCCTATGTAAATTTTGATCCTCCAGTGTGCCCCCATCCTACCCAAGGAGGTCATGATTTGAACAAACATAAGTCTACATTATTTTATTTAATAGAGGAATGCTTCCATATAATTATGACCAATCATGGGTTTGCTGTTTTTGAGAAAAAGATTTTTTCTCCTGTATTCCTATGCTAAACTTTGATATCCCATTGTGGCCCCATCCTAACCCCTGGGGTCATTCCTTGAACAAACTTGAATCTACAATACATGAGGATGCTTCCACATGAGGTTCATCTTTCCCGGCCCAGTGGTTCTTGAGAAGAAGATTTTAAAATATTTTTCCTATGTATTCCTATATTAAAATTTGATACCTCATTGTGGCCCCACCCTACCCTCAGGGGTCATGATTTGAACAAACTTGAATCTATACAACATAAGGATGCTTCCACATGAGTTTCAGCTTTCCTGGCCCAGTGGTTCTTAAGAAGAAGATTTTCAAAAGATGCCATTAATTTTTCACTTATTCACAATTATCTCCCCTTGGAGGAGGGTATGGCCCTTCATTTGAAAAAAAACTTGAATCCCCTTTACCCAAGGATACTTTGTGCCAAGTTTGGCTGAAATTGGTCCAGTGGTTCTTGAGAAGAAGATGAAAATGTGAAAAGTTTACAACGACAACACTGACGACGACAACGACAGACAACGGACAAATTTTGATCAGAAAAGCTCACCTGAGCCTTTGGCTCAGTGAGCTAAAAACTAGTGTACAAAGTCAAGAAATCTCCAGCCCCTCTATAAAACTGAATTTTACAAAAAGGTCTCTGACCATCCAAAACAAAAGATATTGATAATTAATAGGGATGTCAAATCGGTCAATTTTTAATACTCGGTTACTCGGACGTTTTTCCGATCGAGTACCCGGGTACTCGGTAAAAGTCTAAATAAATATGAACAAGTTAATTGATAACTGTAAAACATTGAAAAAAAAAACCACATGGTCTGATGGGAGGCTTACCTGTTAATGTGTTGTAACAATTATGACAACTTTGTGCCCGACGAAATTCAATCTAACATTTTTTTTTAAGTCCAATTTATTTATCAGATAAATACGAGAAATAAAATCATAAATGGCTCACAGTGGTTTTGTTTTAAAAAAAATAATCTGTACCCTAATTGTAATGTAACTCTATCAGTGCGTTTGACGTATAAGTGATAAGTCGTCAGAGCTACATGTACAGTATCAACTTGATCAAGTTCTAACAGAGCGGATTTACGATCTTCGTACACTTTTCGATCATTGATTTCATTAAAATTACGAGACGGTATGTTGTAGTTTGGTGCAACGATGGACATAAGATTTTTAAAACCTTTGGATTCAACCATTTGCATTAATTGGCACGTAATCAAACGCATCCATATCAACAATCGCACGTGCAATATCGTCTGTCTCTCCCGAGAATCTACGGCTTCTGGAGAATTGACAAAATTATCTAATTTATTTAAACATAATAGACCTTAAACGATGTTCAATGAAAACAAATAATTAGAGCAAACTAAACATAAGGGTAGAAGACAGCCGAAGGTGAGAAAAGCCAGGTAGGTAGCAGGTGCTTGGTCACGGTAATTACTGTATAAACACTGCCACAGGCGACAACAGTCATTTGGAGGCTCAGGAAACCCTAATTACTGTATGTACAAGTGCAATGAACATTTTTCGTTTAAAACCGATATTTTAATGCATAAATAAATAAGCTTAGAAATATTGTAAAATATACATCCGAGTAACCGAGTACCGATTTTAGTATTCGATACTCGGACGTTCGATCGAGTACCCGGTTAACCGGGTACTCGTTGACATCCCTAATAATTAATAATCACATTTTCTAGGATAACCCTTGTAAGAAGTTCTTTTTGATGATTAATTATGAAAAATAATAATCGATCATCAGAATCAGTAGCATTTTTTCGTTGACAATTGATGTTTTCTGATCATCAACACAACGTATACACTACAAGCAGTTCTATTTTAGTTTCTAAGATGGTAAAATATTGTACAGAAAAGTGTGAAAGCATTGCTTGTTAGCTGTCAGTTTTAAACATCAATTTAGTATGAGGATATTCTATCTCTGAGTACTGGTATTAAAAATCTAAAAGAAATAATATTGTAAAAGATTATGAAATCTTTTAAAATGCATATGATTTGTGTTTTCTGTTATTTGTTTTATATTTGAAATTTGTTACAATGCTTTACCATAGGATGAATTAATTCATTAAATATCATACAGTTTTAAGTCTCAAAAATGTTTTTGCCATTTGATGCTTGAAAAGTTGCAATTTGATTTCGGCCATATATTACTTTCTTGATGTAATATCTGGAATAATTTCTATATCACAGTCAGTATTTTAATGATATGAAGATGCTTATAAGTAATGAAATTTTATAAACATCTCATACAATTTTGTATTTGATATATTTGGTCTTTTTTTCAAATAAAAAAGTATATATTTATGTACTAAATTTTGATAACAGGACAGTTATAATTTCAGCAATACTTCGAAGGTATCTGATATTACATGTACATTGCAAGGCATCTTATATTTTTAATTTTTAAATGTGTGAACGTACTGTTCTTTTTTTTTGTTTCTGTGACTTGTGTGTTTACAATGAGATTTGTAAGGGAAGCGACCCTACCCGGCATGTTCCATCTTTCCCTACAGAAGCTAGGTATCGTCCACTGGGAGAAAACGACAGGTAGTACACCTCATCTGTGTGGCCGGTCACTTCCTGTGACAGCTCGGTGGGGACGTGGTACAGGAGGCGCTTGTACTCTCCCCTCCAGCTGATCTTGTCTTGGGCAAGCGGGGCATTCTTCTTTATAACCCTTGTCACCAAATCTCTCCACAAGACTTCATCACTGGCCACTCTGTTCCATTGCTAAAACATAAAAATAATTCATAAAATCAAAAAAAGTATGTCCTAAAATGTATACATACATGTACCTTAATTCTTTTTAGCCGGGCTTATGTCATCCTGTTCAAGGCAGGAAGTCCACCCCGTAGTCACCATTTTAAAGTTATGAGTAAAAATATAGTTCTTACTCTCAACTGCTTTTGAGGTAATACAAACGCTAAATAAAGCAACAAAAATAAAACAAAGTTTTTCTATATAAAACATTAGTAATGACTTTGAAAACTTCAGTCCTAAGTCAGAGAACATAGTTCATTAGCGTAAGGATTTTTGATAATTAGTGTTGTCGTAGTTCTCTACACATACGAGGTAAAGCGGGAGAGGGAACCTGGCTGGCCTGGAATGTTTACATTCAACTGCGGTACCAGATTGATTCTGATTCTGACAGAATCGGACCATGGTATTAGGAACGAGAACTCGCTGTCAGTATCTTGTCATTTATATTGATAGTTTTAAAATAATTTTTTCATCAGAATATAAACATTTGATTCATGTAAGAAATTCATTCTACTCTGTAAATGAGCCTGGATCTCTGTACTTCTGAGTACTTTGATTTAAACTTTGTGATAAGGAAACATATGAGGTTAATTGTCTGTGAGTTGGCTGCAGTAATATAAACATGTAGTTGAGCACGGAAATCTACCAATTACACCTATCTAGTCACCCATCTAGAAAACACAGGTCAAATGCAGAATCCAAATCATTACATGAATTCACAGTATTGATCCTTAAAAGCATTTAAGTTTGATCAAGATATACACTTGTAAACATGAAAGCTACCTCGGAATTGACCTGCTAAATATTCCGGGACATGGGAGGAAATGCACATTTACTCAATTAATATTTATACATTTACATTTATGATATTGCTTAAAGTTTTTTTAAGTACTCAGGGGTAGAGTAGAATATTTTCTAAGCCTTCACTGCATTAATGCACTTTCCTTTGTTATCAATAAAGACTTATCAAGACACCAGAACCCCTGACCCAGGAGGCACAGGCACTTGTTTCGGTAATAAATTTTTAACCCATAGTATAATAATAACACAAGGTATCTAACTCCGAATTACACTCAATATCCCCCTCCTTAGAAACGCACTCAATTACACTTTCAGATGAAGTGCACAGGCAAACTTTTTATTATCACTGTCTTCTACGATAATTTATCTACAAAACCATATATGGCATGCATGTCTTCGTTTTCATTTAACTCCATAAACAGCGTCAAAACTCTGCCCGCCGAGTGGAGAGTCGAACTTAAACCACTAAACGAACTAAACTACCCGGTAAACATTTCTAAAAAGGGGGGTACTGAGTATAATTCGGATTTAGATACCTTGTGTTATTATTATACTATGGGTTAAAAATTTATTACCGAAACAAGTGCCTGTGCCAGGAGGTCATGAAATTCATCACTCTGGAAGAGGCACCCTTGCTCATCATAACTATGTACATAGTTTATCAGCTTAATTCCAGGAGCAAAGGAGATTTTCTAAGAATTAGAGCCCCATCCTTACACCAGAACACCAGATCAAGGGCCATGAAATTCACAATTTTTTAAGGAACACCCTTCCTCATCATAACTACATGTAGTACATATAGTTTGTATGCTTACTATACACATGAGCAGAGGAGAAGAATTTTAAAGAAATAATGCATTTTCACTTCATATTCAAAAGAGCCTCACCCTAGCACAAGAACCCCTGATCCTGGGGGAAGGAATTTCATAATTTTGGTAGAGGGCTCATTGCTTATTACGTCAAGAAAAATAGTTTGGCTTCTTGATGTTCAGGAGTAAAGAAGAAGATTTTTAAAGATTGCATTACCCCCGGGTATTTTGATGGTTTTATCCCAACCCCTTAGCCCCTCCCCCTGCCCCCCAGTGGGAGCACGAATTTTACTCCCCTTCACCCATAGATGCTACACTGTATATATCAACATTGATTCAGTGGTTCCTGAGAAGAAGCTAAAAGGTTTTAATGTAAATGCATGTTGTTGAATGAAAAACAAATGGCATTATGTCACCTGAGTAAACTCAACTGATCAAAAAAAAAATCTACAAAAAATTTCTTGATCAACAGCTTCTAGCTAATTTATTCCAAATGAGAAACTGACCACACAGGCAGAGGATGCTGTGGTAAGAGTCACTCCATCCAGAAAGGAAAAAATGTGCAGGAGAACAGAATCCGGCAACTGCTGAAATAAACTTAGTGAATCCGCCATCTTCTGATGAGCTTTATGTACTTCATCCCATTCCTAATCTCAAGGGCAGGCAACTCTGTAATAAGAATATTTCCATATACATGTAGTTAAAAGTGTTTTTTGCATTATCAGATATGTATAAATTATAATATGATATGTATAAATTAAATTCATAAATATACATTTACATGTTATAAACATTAATGATTGCACGTATCTTTGCGAGTCTGGCCCTGATTTTTTACAGGTACTGATCTGTTTCAGAAAATATTTTACCTGAGCATGCAGTTATTTCAACTGCATTGGCATGCATGTCCTAGGGGAACTGATGTCCCCTATAGAAATCAATGCATTCATATAATGAAGTATCCATAAATGAACCACACCTGCAACCTTGCTTCCAATATGCTGAAAGCTTATCTAGAACACCATTATCACAAAGTCCCAATTAAGTGCTTACACCCTGGATATCTCAAATCCCTGCTATCTTGAAGTGTTTTCTTGATACCATCAAGTTTCAGATTACAAGTTGGCATACAGATGGAAGAATGGCTATAGACAGACTGGAGGACACAGTTGTACATGCATAAACCCCAACCATGTAAATTCAACGTCTATAAAATCTGCATGAGTTCTCTGTAGAAGAAGACTGGATTTTTCCCAATAGCTATAGGCCCTTTATTTGCAACTTTACATTGATAATAATATCGGTGTCGTGTGTTAAAATGTGCGTACATGTATTTTGATAAAGAGGTAGATGGATGACGACTTTTCAATGATTTTTTAACTCTCGAACTCTGAATGTGATGTGTATTTATTGAATGAGTCATTTAACTGTTGAACCCAAGAACACACCAATGGCTTATATCTGACAGTTTAACGGAAAGTGTAAACAAATACTTCTCACTCCATTTAAGATGAAGATGCAGAGATTCTTCACACCATTACCTATTTTGTTGACGATCACTAAGTTAGTTGGTTTGTTTTTTTTTCTGCGATTGATATTACGAAACCATTCGATCTCGAGAAAACGCCCGAGAAGTTACGAATGTAATTTTCCCGTTAGGCTGGTTCCCTTTCCCGTCATCTTTCATAATGTCACCCAAATGTGTGGCTCCGGATATTTACGGATTATAGAGAAATCCCTATGTATTTACGGATTATAGAGAAATCTCTGAATATCTTAAGCTGTCAGTCTGCTCATTTCCTGATCACTTCCCGAATTTCAATACAAAAAAATCACTTAATATTTTTAATAAAGTATCTGATACTAAATAAAATAAAGACATGCTCATATCATCATTTTACATGCCTCAAAGAAACAAAAAGGATCTTGACGAACTATCCATATCACTAGAAAAAGCCTCAGTCTCAACATCAAAGAAAAACATCATCCTAGCTGGGGATTTTAATTGTCCAGACATCGAATGGAACAACATGTCAATCAAAAATGGAAATGACAGGGACATTCAACAACAACTAATAGATATTGCAAATTCCTCCGGCCTTTCACAAATCCATGACCAACCAACAAGGGGAGACAACTTACTAGACCTAGTTTTCACTGCAAATCCTTCCGTCATCAAATCTTCAGTAAGTGTACCAGGAATCTCGGACCATGACATTGTCATCACAGATCTAGAAACCAAGCCACATTACCAAAAATCAGCAAGCAGAAAAATATATATCTACTCAAAAGCAAATTGGGAAAACTTGAAAGCGTCATTAAGAAATCTGGCAAATAACATCAGCAAGCTGCAGTCAGAAGGGAAAAACATACAAGACATCTGGGAGTTCTTCAAATCCAGTATACATAAAATTCTAGACAAACATATACCAGCAAGGGAGCTTAAGTCTAGACACTCCACCCCCTGGATCACAGACAGAGAAAGGAAACTCCTCAAGAAAAAACAAAGACTGTACAAACAAGCAAAGAAGACAAAGAACTGGACA